ACGATAATGTACGAGTATATCTGGCTATTATTTGTTTGCGCTTGGTCAGTCGGAATAATAAATTGTGGGAACTTATTCCCTGTTCCGTTCGTGAGCTTGTCTCTTCATAAGTAGTCCAGAGCGCTGGCGTACAGCAAGAACTGTCGCCACGTTTTTGTACGCAAAGTGTGCGCCGAGAGCAAAGGAAATAACTGCCGATGGAGAAAGGAATTGACAATAAAAATATTCACAAAGAACCAGCGAAGGGAAAACAAAATACAACGAGAAGGGACGTGTGAGATGCTTCTTACGCGTCACAACTTTTATACCCGGCACTCAGTACTATATCTGCACCTTAGCGGTGTTTTGTCAAATTTTACATTTTTTCTTCATCTGTCATCTACATCAACAACACTACTCACGCCAACACGCTCCTTTGTCTGCGCGAAGCAGAGTGTGAATGAGAGAATTTGCAAAAAACAAATATAAGCTGCGGGACGGGGTGGGTTTGGTCCCTGCAAATTAGTTTCTTCATTCTGGCTATAATAATTATCCAATCGGAACCCAATTGGTCTGATAGATATGGTCCTTCCCTACGGAATGGCGTTTTTAATTTTCTTTTATCTTCAGGTTTTCGCCATTTTGCGGGGGCTGAAGGGGACGGGGCTCATTTTTTTTTAAATACACTTGTAACAGTGTGAGCATACAGAAGTCTGGATGCAAAATTTGGTGGCTCTAGCTCTTATAGTCTCTGAGTACTAGGCGCTCATCAGGACGGACAGACGGACGGACAGACAGACAAGGCTCAATCGACCTGGCTATTGATGCTGATCAAGAATACATATACTTTATGGGGTCGGAAACGTTTCCTTCTATACGTTACATACTTTGTGCACAAATACAATATACCCTTTTTACTCTTCAAGTACCGAGTATAAAAAACACAAAACACAAAAGCTCAAAGAATACTCGCTGCATTCAGTGGGAAAGGGAAAAGGACTTAAGACAATTTTCTTGGCTCTTGCCTTAGAACATTTCTGAGTGGAGTGGCAACATTTTAGTTGTCTCTGTAGTTTTTTTTTGCCCCTTATTTTTCCGACGACCCGAAAGAATGGCTTCAATAAAAATACTAAGTAAACGAGGGTCGAAATTAAACACAAGGACACCAAACACACAAAAAAAGAGCTTTCCCACACATACAGTGCGGCACAGGGCACACAGGGTAATTCTTAGTTAACGAGCAACCAAAACGTATTCACGCTTTGGGTAAATCCCCATGGTATCTACAACACGGACGAAGGACGTCCCAGACCAGGAACTGATTCACGTTCAGCTCTCGTATGCTCTCTTTCTGTCTTTATCTGAACACCCACTCACACAGACGTAAATGAGAGGTAGCTGGCTGATGTGTGTGTGTGCTTAGGACCAAATGCAGCGCCTCTCTACGGCCATACTATTAGAGACCTAATTGAGGCCAATTACTTGCTGCTTGGCTAATAAAATCGTTAGAGATATTTGCGCATTTTAACTAATGATTTTCTGCTTAGGCCTAAGTACACATAGCAACAGAAAATTTAAGTGTCCAGCCAAGTTGCCTATGCCATCCGGTCCGTAAATTACACATACGCCCCAGACCAGGCTGCCAAAGCAGACAGACCCGACATCTCGTTAGCAGACCGCCTGACACAGTTGTTAATAATTCATTCAGGGCTAATATAATGTTTGTATTCAAGGTAGAACAACACATGACACAGAAACACACAAATCAGAGGACAGGGGACACAGAATAGAGAACACAAGGCTCTTACTATAATTAGCTGATACATTCAATAATTTAGCTCCTAGTATGGGGCAGAATGAAACGGAAAACAAAACTCTGGATGTAGGCTGGACAGCTGATGGCTACAAACAGGTGGGGCCCGGGCCATCCATCATTATTTATTGCTGCCTACCAGACCTTGTGTTCTTTTCCAGTCAGCAATTGGATGAGAGCCTGAGCCGCGTTCGTCTCGGTCGGATTGGTTATGCAAAGTCCTCACTACGGGTATAGTCTGTTAAGCGCTCGCAAAGCGATATTATTTAGATATTGACAGCGTTACACTTTTTTGCGCCTTACAAATGATTTTTATGTAAAATGGAGTGTAATCTGACTTCCAGCTATAAAGCATGCAATGCGCTGCTTAAGCCGCTGGTTTGATTGACTTCCGGAGTGGCCAGACTTGATTATTTCTGAAACGATTCGCTGCACAATTGCAAACTTTTCCTCTTTGTCCGACCATGGAAAACGGAATGGGTAACAATCTCAGAGTGCAACTTCCAATCAAATGGAATGCACACAAGTCTGCCACCCGATATGAGCGGGCATATGGAAGGAGCGGAACAATGCACAATGGCACGCAGATAAGCGAGGAAGGAGCCATGCCCGAGCGAAAGTCTCAAAAATAAATGGAAATTAAAAGTTGGCAACGTTTGAGGCCCTGTTTGAGGCGGTCATGAAAAGAAAATCGAACAGCCAGCAGCGCCTCAAATTATGATTAGCCGTCCTCCAATGAAATAAAATATTTAATGGCTCGTGTTGGAGTTTCATGACAATGCAATCCAGATCCCAAACGCTCCGACAAATGTCAGCATCTAGTGTGGGTCATGAGCGTCATGCCTGGAACGTGCGTGTAGACGCGACATGGTTAACATGACATCATTCTCTGAGAAAAGAGAATCATCTGGGGAGTCTAATGAATAAAAATGAATTTAAAATCAAGACAAAGACTCTCTCGCCGGAGACACTATAAAATAGAGGAGCAGCAGGACCTAGACCCAGCAGGCTGCCAGCCAGTCTACGTAATGATCCAGTGCCCCGAGTCGGCAGCCGGCCAAGTGGAGGAGCTTATAACTAAATGGCAAACTTACATGTCGTCCAACGGGGCATGCTCCCATTTCTGTTTTTGTTCCATCTCCGAGTTGTAATCCTTTATTTAAATATTGTTTGTTTTTTATTTGCCTTTGCTATTATGCCTGGGGATATTTTGCATAAATAACTAGAGGAAAAACTGAGAGTCTAGAGTAGAAAGTCAAGCAAAAAGCTGGCATCATATTCCCTACACTCACACATCCACATATGCATACATACATACATTTGTACCACTCATATGCACACAATCAAATCAAATCTAGAAACAAGACAACACAAGATGTCGGAATAACAATCTACACAGTAAAAATACATTCTGCCTTGTTTTCATCCACTTTTTGGTTGTGCTCCAATTTAAATATTTGCCCTGGCATGTTTATCGAGACAAGTTGACTTGTCGGCTTCGCCCTGGCTCCAAGTAAGGCATGACACAACGGGGCGTATGATAAATATACCAGAGCATAACGCACTCGACCCATGCCCAAAACACTCATTAAACCTCGCACCAAGTGTCAGAATGGAGGTCATAAAATATGCCCACATCCAGGTTAGGCCGACTTTGCTTGGACAAGGCCAGCAGCAGGAGCAGGAGCTGGAACAGGACACGCACACGCAGACAGGCGAGGAGACTTTCAATGTCTGGCCCCGAGGTGACGAAATGCTCCTGCGCCTGTTGCTGGATTTCACGATGACAGTGGCCCAACATTGATATAGGACAGCCACGCCCCATGCATCCAAACACCTGGGAATCCTGTCCTTTGTCCCGTATTTGTGTGTGTGTGTCTGTGTGTGTATGCGTGCGCCGTCTAATATCAAATTCACATTAATTTTGACATCGAAGCGGAAATACATTTAATTGCTTTCTGCGTGGCTTTCAGAGCTGGGACGTCATCCCCTGTCATCACCGTGCTCCTCCAAGTACGCGTCTACGCACCTATTCTAAAAGCTGGCCCACAAACAAACCCATAGCAGTGGGTTTGCCGCCGGCTGTCGCACGTAGCCGCGACAACGACTTTTCCCATTAGCGCCGTGTCTCCCAGGAATTGCCTCTGTGTATACAAATATATCGCTTTTCTTGACAATTTTCATATGTTTTCATTCTGTCATTTCATTAGTACAGACCCCCGACTGTCAAATCAGCATGTGCGTATGTGTGCAACCTGGTACATAATCTTTGTAGAGAGGGTGCGGGACCCTTCGTCTTGTTTCCTTGGGGCAGGATCTGTCAAAACTTCCCGGGGCGTCGCCACATATCATAAATAAGCAGAAGTCAACATAAACGTTGACGATTTTGATTAACTCGGAGAAATGTAATTACGGGTAACCCTTATGTAACCCCTTTAAATGCATTTCACGCTTCGACAGAGATTTCCGGACTATTTCAACAATTTCTCAGAATATGAATTACGAATATGGCTCTAATTACAATTATTACTTTGAGCGGGAGAGAATCTCGTTTAATATGAAAAAATTGCGTTCTTCTATTCAGTAAGAGCACTTAATATCTAAAATGATTTTAATATAATTTTTAATTGAAATTTAAATTTACATTCTAAGAGGAATGTTTTCCTTTTTATATTCCTTTTCATTTAAGAGATTCGATTCATGGAAAATCCGAATGTTACTTTCCAAGTGAGAAGAGTGACAATATTTTAATAAAAATATATTAAATACATATATGTATGTATATTAACAATATCCTACATTTTATATACATTATTTTTAGCAGTCCATTCAGAGCAACAGGCGAGATATCCATTAGATAATGGGATAATTCGATGCCAAAAACCTTCATTTTACACCCTTAAATCTCGGTCCTCCCTCTGCTCTCTGCTCTCACCCAAAACCCTTATATATACATATATCCATGTACACATTTACCTATCGACAATAATGATGTGTTCTTAAGCTAATAAACAAAACATAAATGCATATACTGTTTGTGTCTTGGGCAGAGGTAAAGTTCTCTGCTGCCGCTGGCCATAAACCAAAGCCAAAAACTTCCAGATCGCACATACATAAATAATCCAAGACAAAAGAGCCAGAAGGCGTTGTAAAATAAGTTGAGGTAAAAGTGGAAGTGAAAGTCACATAAGGCACGTGTCATACTCACATGTGAGAGGCGGCAAGCTGTGGATGGTTCTCTCAAAAAGCAGTCTGATTATCGGGCGACGCTGACCTGCCACTCGCGACTTTCTTTTGCTGGTGACAACTGAGCTTATCGGTCATGCATGCAGGTCCGCTCTCAAATCCGACACACCGACACACCTGGCAGTGAATGCTTTGTTATACTATGCTATCCTAAGCAGTACAGTTCAGTGCAATGCGATGCGATGCTATGCAATACGATTTGGGTCAAAGTACTAACAAAACAACAATGCAGCCGCACATTTCACAGTTGTCGCAGTTAACGTTGCCGCTACCGCTACCGCTGCCGTTGCAGTTGCCTCCACCTCTGCGTTTGCTTTTGCCCGTACCACTCGGTTCTCTGGCGCTTCTGTTTCCGTTTCCGCTTTCACTTTTTGTCACTGCTGACTTTACAGCTGCATCACAGAGTTGCGCTGACAATGTGTCGAGCAGTGGAGCACTGGAGCAGGACAGGCCGCGCACACACACGCACATACGTATACACAAAGTCGACGGCCAGCTGCCTGCTCACATGGAGGCGTTGGCAAATTTTCCGCCTTGTGGCTTTCTTGCACTGTCACACACACAGAGCGAAATTCACGCGCACAGATGCGTTCTCAAGGATATACAACGATGTACGACACGAAACGAAACGGCACTGTAGGCCGGTCTTGAACTTGATACGCTGCTATTTCTTTCGAGCTTCCTTCTACTACTTTGCTTCAAAAAATTCAAAACGCACTTTTGCCGCCGGCAGCGCTTAACCTCGTCCTCTTCTCACACCTCTCCGGATTTGTTATTGTTGTGTTAAAAGGCTACCTTTTGTTTTTTCCTTTGGCGTTCTGGTTTTTGCTGTTGCTTCTACTGCCTTTTGTATGCACATCCGTGTGGCAGAGGGGCGATGCTGTCGCTTCCGCAGCGTGCACAGCTTTCAACGAGTATACGAAGTGAACTGAAAGGATAACGACGACGATGACGACCGCCGTGAGCAGGCCAGGCAGGAATCCAGTTTCGGGCCAGCGCCAAGCATGCGCTGTTCTGCGGAGAGCGAAAGCTTCGCGAAAGCTTTGAGGTCCCATTCGCCTTCGTTTTCGTTTTCACTTCGCGATGCAACTCCCACTGACAGCTGTTGGGCCTTACTTCCAGCGCGCAGAGAGTTTAAGAGAGCCCTTCCAAGAGCTCTTTTATCTCTTTGGCTCTCTTCGGCTCGGCGGCATTCAAATTCACTTAGCTAAAAGATGCCCGAATTGTGTCACATTTCTAAGTGGAATTTACTTTGCTAATGTCACGTGCCTTTGGCTGTGGCTCTGGTTCTGGCTCCCTCTACCTTTGCCTCTTCCTTTGCCGTTGCCTTGCCGCTCCTGTTACCTATCCTAGAAACGAGGCAGAGGCTACTCTTAAAATGGAAGGGGACCTAATGACATACTTCACTCAGAATTCGCAGATAAAAGCGACATCGGGGGTAAGCAAAGGACGTGTCTACGAATCAGTGGCAAACAAATTGATCCCGCAATGCAACTGTCAGTTGGACATACTGGTGGACTGGTGGAGAGGTGGACGAGTAGCAGTAGCCGTCGAAGGTAGGGAAGGATGGCTGCCGCAACTTGCAACTAAACTTTTGCGGTAACCAAACCCAATCGTGAAGTAAACTCCGACCGCAGGGAACAGCCCACAGGGCTGACAACGACAACTATCGCCCGCCGACATCCGGCGACAGCGACGTGCACGGATCTGGCTAGAGGACAGAGGGAAATCAACCTTCCCTCGCCGAGAGAACCATGGGCTGAAAGTTGCAGGGGCAAGGGACGGGGCAGATGGACGGCAAAACGTTTGCCCACATGCCGCTTGTCGTTTTCCATTAGTGTGCCGACCAACCTCAATGATTTCTTACTTACAGCGCGCAATTTGTAAGTGAGTGTATGTGTGTATCCATGTGAGAGCCCAAGCTCACCAAGCCACACAAAAACACACTGACACACACACTCATCCAAGTGAGGCATAATCGCATTCGTATTGGTTTCCGAGTGCTGAAGCATCCAAGTTGGCCAATGCGTTTCGAGTGGGGTCGCCGACTTAATCTGTGTGTGCGACTCAGCGGGTATCAGAGTGTGTGTGTGTGTACACGGATCTGAGTATCTGTGTATCTGAGTGTGCCTGTGCTTGTGGTCGGACAAAAAGTTCAGGAAATTGCTTTTGCATGAGCGCTTTGGCGGAGGGAGCGGAGCGGAGAGCCGGACGCTGACGCAGGTCGTAAAAAGGAAGCTGCGGCGATTGCAAAAGAATTGAGAATTGAGAAAGGTCGCAAATTGTATAAACTTCCATCGAAAGTCGGCCAAGTAATTAAGGGGCCAGCAGTTGCTGCAACAGATAATTATGCCCGGAAAGTATTCAGTAATTTGAATATATTGAAATTGAAATTTGACAGCCACACACCTCTTACCGCCCTCTAAGGCACTGTAACACATAAGCATTGTGACAACGTGCTAGATGCTCTTATACCCTTGCTAAGGTTACTCCATATAATTGTAACCAAATGTTTACCACTCAAACAGGATCATACCAATCATACACAGGTCAAGTTTTTCCACCGATATACTAGAATTTACCTAAGCTGGAGAACACAGCCAGAATAAAAAGCTGAGCAGAGAGTATTCGATGTTCGAAATTCTGCTATAGCCCCATCGTTTTTGTTTTGTTTTTTGGATCGCATGTTGGCCGACCATTCAGTCAATGGTCAATATGCTCGATTCATACACTTTGACCTCGTTCAGCTTTTGTCGTCAGCCACGTTCGAAATGATTTCGTGTCTGCCACGCCTTCCTCCTCTTTCTCCGACCTCCCACCTTTTGTCGCACCCGTACCCCTGTACCACCACCTTCCCCACGTGACCCACAGTTGAGGCACTATCAGTGTAATGTTTTGTTGTCACTGAATGTAGTTTTTCCTTCGAATGAAAAATGTTGCCTACTTTTTTCTGCCAGAAACCAAAAAAACAAAGGACAATAAAAAAGGAATTTGTTGGCACTGGGAAAAGGAAACGAACTGTTTGCCCCAAGGCAGGGCTAGGGCATATATCAAATGGGTAAACATTTTATTTTAGTTGTAATTGAATTGAAAGCGACCGTAGGTCCTTCGTACTCAACCAAGCTGCAGGGAATACGTTGAAATATTTAAAGAAAATAAACTCCTATCCCAGCCCAAGACATCTCTACGCGGACTTGCAAGATAAGAAAACACGGAAATAATTATACATTGTATTGGACGAGGCTTAATCGCTTTTGAAGATAAAGGGAAAAGAGATACGAATGAAACCAACAATTAATGCTATGAACCCACAATTGGCATCACATTGGCATTGCTAGAAATGAAAGCGCCATGGAAAACTTGAAGAACGGAATCATTCGAGTGGCACTGAGTGTGGTTTGAGTGTGTCTAATTACAACAACTACAACTACAACTTCTACATGTGTAGGTACAAGTACTTAAACGTAAATACATATGAATGTATCAAAATAATGGTACGTCTAATGCACCCATAATATGGGGCTATTAAATAAATTTCGGTTGTTGCTCTTTTGTACTACTTTCACTTGCTACTCTCGTAGTATCATGATTTCCAGGCAGGCCTGTCAGACAGTCAGATAGTCAAAAAGCTGACTGGCTGACAGGCTGCATAAGCGGAGCTGAGCCCCACCCGTGTTACGGGATTGGGGCCCATGTCTGGGCAAAGTTAACGTCTGGGCTGACGGAGCATGCAATATTTAAAGAGTAAATATTCAAGGCGCGTCCCTGGGCAAATCAATGTCTCTCAGAATTTGTTTTCGCGTGCGTTGTAAATGCTTCTATGGCGATTTGGTTAGCTTCAGTTCGCTTCGGAACCTTTAGTTCAGTTCCGAGTGTATAATAACTCACCAAATCGTTATGAAGTTCAAATATGCGTGGCAACCGGGCAAATATTGACAGTACAAAACAAATTACCTGATTACATTTGGGTCAAGCCATTTTTGGCACCAAAGCGACACTAAATTTTCATGTTGTTCTTATTTGTTTGTGTGTGCTTGTGTGTCCCTTTTGACTGAAATACGAGTATCCTGCAGCTAGTTGTACACTTACACATGTGCATGTGTTCCCCCCGCATAGTCACGGGTGACACAGATAGAAATTAATTAAAAGTTTGTGTGTTGCTGCAACATAGTGTCTAGCTTGTTTATTTGTATTTGCATACATGTATTTGTTTTGTGTGTGTGCACCCGCGTGGGCGTCTATGTTAGTTGGAGCTGTCCAAACTACTCATACAGCACTAGAGCATGTTGTGTAGCGGCAAGTAAATGCAACAGCTACAAGGAGTGCAACATGACAATCTATAGATTATATACATACACACTGCCACCTATTTTTGTTGTCCCATTTGTTGATCAAAATATTCTTGCCTCTTGAAATTTAATCTTTAGGATCCTCGATATGTTAACAATAAGGGGCAGAATGATGAAAAGAGTGGGGACTCTTCTATAAATCACTCACACAGAACGCCAGGCATTTTGCCAGAAAATTAAGACATTCAGTTTTTATGCTACAGCTGATTCTGAAAGTTGAAGTACGAGTTTTCTAGTTCTTTATCAGAACCGGGTATCCCATCGTCCGGAGAGATGTTCATGTAGCATTCTCTTTTGTGTTTTTTTCGGGGGTACGTGAAGGTTTAGTTATATTTTTTGTGTATTTCACGACCTTGTGGACTAACAATTTGGGCCACTCACTCCGTCACAATGTTTACAAAATAATAATGGCATTTACGACCCTGGTATGCAGTCGCAGTCGCCCCTCTGAGTGTGTGCGTGTAAACATTTATATGGACATACTCGGATATGTGTGTCTGCAAGTGTAGTTGAGGGTCGCTCTCCGCCACTGTTGCTGCTGCTGCTGCTGCTGCTGCCGGCCGGGGAATTCTTTTTATTATAATTTTACTCGCCGTACCCGGCCCTGTGGAAGCAGTAAAAGTAACTCATCAAAACGCATTCTCTTGGCTTGGCAACAGCCCAACAGAGTAAAAGAATAATATTACAAGAATTAATTTAATGCTTGGCTGCATAATTATCCGAGACTCTTTGTGCAGCGTTTGTTATATTTGCAGTGCGTTAATAAATGTATCTCATTTTAGAACAACTTTTCGACTGAAACAAACGATAAGAAATTAAATGAAAATTCTTGAATACAATTACAATCTCAATTATAGAATTGAATGCTTAAATGGAAAATTGATTTGAATTGTAGCACAATTAGGGTTTCATGGACATAATTTGCCATTGGTAAATCATTTGAATCAAATTTAATCTATTTTCTATTTGGCTCTCTCTGGCCGAATAATGGGAATTATTCTGATAGGTTCACATTTCAGCAATTGATGGACTGAATGATTGCCCAACTGGCACTAAGTCTGGTTTCATATTCAATTATCTCCGGCATAATGGACGTTGCACACTTTTAGTTAACTCCATTAATTTGCAACATATCAAAGGCAGATTGACACTCGGCTCTGTCTTTGTGCGAGTGTGTACATATGTATGTACTTACATACTCGTATCGTATAAATGAAGCCCTGTAAGCATGTACATTTACTGGAGCAAAGTCTGACATCCCTCTCCAAAAAGGCTGCGTCATGTGCTTTCATGTGCGACTGCGAGAACGTATGGGTGTGTCAGGTGTGTCAGGTATTTGCCGAGCAGCCAGTGAACATCCCGAAAATATGTGTAAGCGACTGCAAGCCGCCAGCGCAACGTGGCATTAATTTCCGTTAATTAAAATAAATACGTCGAGCGATAATAAATAGCACGACACTGGTATTAAAACGAATGCGAAGAGATCCATCCGAACCACACCGAAAAGCTATCCAAAAAGCACACGGCGCCTCCAATTAGATGCCTACTCCTCAGTACATAT